GTGTCCCTGCCCATGGCAGGGGGTTGGAACTGGAAGAGCTTTAAGGTCCTTTCATCCCAAACCAGTCTGGGATTCTATGAACAAGCCCTTCACTAACCCCCGGTGTTTTTGCAGGACTATTTTTCAGGTAAAGTAAAAATTGCTTAAAGACACTTCTGCAGCTTAACATTTTTTGTTCAAAAACATGTTCTTAGTTAATTTATTTTCTTTCTCCAACTATAACATGATTGCATATAACTAAAGGGAGAAAACCATCCTCCAGCTCTAGTTCAATGAAGTACAACACTTCTACTCTGTGCAAACCACCACACATATTTCCATGGAAGCAAAAACCCAAAGAGATATAAAGGAAAACAAAGATATTTCGTGCAAATGTGTTGGTAATACATAATTCAGCTCACCATCCTACATGTACTGTATTGACACACCTACTGCAATGTAATCCAGACAGCGTCAATGCTTTTTTAAGATCACAGCAGTGCAATAGCATAAGAACTGAATTGTTCAGACTGAATTCAGTTCAGACATTAGTGTCAAGAGTTAACACCTACAAGCAGGGATTCTTTTGCTGCAACTCAGCAAACTGTACTTGTCTGCTTATAGGACTAAAGACAAGACTGCCTGCACTGGAGCTCAAAGAATGCAGTGAATTTTGTTTATGTGTGACTCCCCCACCTCAACACCCCCCATATGATTTTCAAAGGCAGGTTTGTTTTAACTGAGTAAATTAAAAAAGCTAGAAAATGAAAACAAATATCCTGTTTATCCTGTCAGATTAACACCCCTAGAAACCATTTTTTGGGGAAAAACGCATATTATTTGGCAAACCAGAATATTTAAGAGCTATCTTACTCTGCGTGAAAAGGCAGCACTTCTTCCTGAAAGAACCTCCTGGCACTCGCCCTGAAGATATCATGATCTGATGAGAAGATCTTCCGAGTACCTATATCAAGCAAGCTTTTAGCCGAAGATGGTTCGAGGCGCTTTGTGCCAAGCTGTTCAGCTTGCAGAGGACTAAAAAAGACAAATGAAAGCATCTGTTAGGACACCCCATTTACATAACCCTTTAAAAGAAAGGGCACACCTGCATTGTTAAACATATTTCAGTTCCCAGGTCTAGCACACTGTTAGGTCTAAAGGATACCAATAAACGTAAAACCTAACAGACACTGTACTTCACTGGGCTGTGAAAGGAGGCAAGACCAGTTTGTCCTTAACACTTCAACTAAATTAGAAACAATAATCATACCTACACAGGTAAGAGGTTAAAGTTCCTGTTCATGAGAGATGCTAAAAATCATCACTGCCTTCTCCGCCTGCTACCCAACCTCCAATATGCACTTCAGCTCAATTTAAACTGAGGGGGCAGCTTTTTAAACAAGTACACTTTTTTGTCAGCTCTGTTCATTCTCTATATGCCCCCAAAAGTCTCTCAATCCATGACACTGAAAATTCACACACTCAAAATATAAGCAAGTACAACATGGATTTGCATGCTCTGAGGGCTGTAGCATACTCTGCATTATCACATATACCTGCATAGTTCTAACCTTGAAAATCATACTTTTTAATTCCTTCTTTCAGTATTTATGTTGTAGAGGAAGGCTAATCCTCCCAAAACTCTGATAAAAAACATACCTAAAAGTAAAAATTCTTCTTTAACAGCAAACAAAAACTGAAACAGTGGTAGATGTCAGTAGCTGAAACCACCCAAGGCAAGTGCAATTACAAAATAACAAGGAAGGGATTAAAGCTTTTGTAGGAGCTTAGAATGTCAAGGATGACATACTACTTTAGGGCTGAAATGAAAAGTCACTTCTTACAATATGTGCACTGTGTTCTCTGACTTGCTTTTATTTTTATTGCCACAAAACACCAGGAATTAGAAATACAGAACTGAGCTATATTAAATGGAAAGGCATTCCCTGTTCCTTTCTCAAACTATTTTGCTCCTCTCTCCTCAGATCCTCAGCACAGCACAGCACAGTAATTTTGTGCAGTCCCACAGAGCTTAACTGAGCCTACGCTTACTCCATTACCAAGGCAAAGGTCTTTATTCACTGCCGCATGAAGTTACTCGTGCTGTTCCTGGCACAAAGGATTAAACATGCCTGAAACACAGACTCTATCTACTTCTAGTGATATTTGGAAGCAGTGGGCTACTGCAACTTGCTTTTTCAGTATGTTGTCCCCCCCAAGCACAGGCTTTCCATGCTGGGCACACAGTGACTCTCCCAAAAGCTCCACCTTATTTTTAAAGCTGTTTAAGATGTTGCTGAGCTTTTTTGCTTTATTGTGGCTCACAGCCCACATGGCACACAGGAAGAACCGAGCTGCTCTGTCACACCAACCACAGCCCTAGGAGGCACAACCTGAAGGTCAGAGAAGGCATGAACACATCCCTGCATTTCTGCTCCCCAAAAAACCCCATTCCAAGTGCCCTGCTGCCACGGGTCCAGCGTGCTCAGGAGAGGACACATCCAGCCTGTCACCTGCTGCTGCTATGGGACTCGGTGTTCCCTAAGTGCGGACGAGAAGCAGAGCAAAGGTCAGCCCCATCAAGTGAATGCACAGGGGCTTCATAACTTGTCAGGCACTGGGGGCTCAGTGGGCTCCCAGGCCTGGGGGGACCAGGCCACAGCCCAGGGTGTTCAGGGGGTCTCCCACGCCTGGGGGACACCAGGCACTCACCCAGACCCCAGCTGCCTCCTGCAATGGGGGCACAGGCACACACATATACATACACATTAAGATATACACACACATCTGTGCCTATAACCTTCCT